CCCCCCCCCCCCCAAAAAAAAAAACCCTCACAGTGCCCATGGTAATATTTTGAATACAGGTGAGAAGAACTTATCAAGACTTGAGCTCTCAAGCTGATTGTGAGAGAAAATTGTATTTGAAGTCATCATATTTTACGTTACAACTTAAAAAAAGTTTGATGAATACTTGGGACTTTAATTGCAGGGTTACTTACAGATACATCAGATAGTCATGTGAATTAACATATTAAGATGAAATCATCTACATGTAGTAATAAAAATGTTACATAACTGTGCTATGAGTAGATTTTTAATACCAGTATATAATCTTTGCACTTATTGCTTGGATGTTGTGCAGAATCCATCTAAGTATGCATATGGCTGTGACAGTAGACAGCTTAGGTACAAAATGTTGAGCCACAAAGAGTAACCAGAAGCTTAATATGTTTATTGCTTTTGGCCCACCTTCATACCCCACCAGTGAGAAGGAAAGCTCTCATTTAAGCATTTGACGTTGAAGTCAATCACACCTCCCAAAGATTAGAGCATTAGTCTTCTGGTTGATGTACGCCTCTCAAAATCGTCCTAGTATTACTACCAGCATTTTGAGAGCAAAATCAGTTTACACCCTTGCAATTTATACCATTAATAGGAACTTCTTTAGGCCAATAAAACAGGTTATTATTAACAACTTAACAGTCACAAATGATTAACACTTAATTATGCATACTCAATTCACCGATTTGGTATATGATCTAAATTCAATCTTACTTCTAACTTTTGATTTTGATTTTGAGGCTTAGGGGAATGTATTAGGCAAAAGAAATCAAATCAGGCTTGAAGAACGAATGAGTTAAATTATAGATAATTAATTTTTATCTTGCCCAGTTAGACTTTTGATATACAGCACTGAAATATTATTGGCTGATCAAAAGATGCATAGATGACATTATTTAATTCATGAATATCAAATTAATTCATTTTCAGATGATTGTTCAAGATACATTACAAGTGCAACTGGTTCTATCACCAACCCGGGGCACCCAGTGGATTACCCTTCTAATAAGGACTGCACATGGCTTATTTCAGTTGGCAGTGGAAAACAAATTGCGCTCATGTTCACAACGTTTGACGTAAAACGTGGTTCAAGTACACAGGATTGCCAGGAAGACTTTGTAGATGTGAGGAATGGCCTTACTGATATAGCACGTCAAATCGGTGGAAAATACTGTAATGGAAACAAACCAGTGTTGATAACTACACCCAGAAATATTGTGCGAATCCACTTTCACTCTGGCAGCACAGCCATAAGTGTTTCTTATAAAGGATTTCAAATTCATTACATCACTGTGACACCAGGTACAACTTACAATAAAATTCTTATCATAATTCTTTATATCCCTTTAGCTGATGCACATGAGATGATGCATTCTACGGTGCAGTGGAAAACTCCCTGTAAGAAAGAGTGAGCCAAAGCTATACTTCTTTAACTCAATAGTTAAAAAAACAAAAGAGTGCCATAAGCGGTTGACATAATCAGAGCTGTCAGTAAGTTTTGAGTCAACTGTAGTCTTGATCTTTGCACCTGTAACAAAGTTGTTTGATTTCGGGTTTTTGTTTCAACTATAGTCCAGTTCACCAGTATCAATTCATCAAGGATCCATTAAACATGGGTACTCAGCTTTAGCAGGTGTTAGGTGTTAGAGTAACGAGAATTTGCATTTCTATAATCAATGAAAATAAATGAGTGCTTTCCGTTTCTTTTTCTCACAGTGAATTTTTGAAAAGAAAGCAAAAAAACTTTCCTTCCTGTTTCTCTCAAGGTACAGAAACACTTGTGAAAAATGATGTGGGCTAACTCAAAAAAGCTGTGAGAACACCTGCCTGTAGCTTGTAATCTCACATTATTCTTGTTTTCCTAAAATAGGTTTCTATTTAACAATTAGGTTAAGGATCATGAGATTTCTTTGAGGTGATAGTCTATGAGGCGGAAGGCAACTGTCCACCATGCTTACTTGCAGGGAGGTGGTGTGGCAAGCCTTGAAACACTATATTCACCACCTTAAATGGTGAATACTGTAAAATGTTACAGGCCAAGCTTCCCAACCAATCAGAATGTCTGATTCTTATATTTACCTCTAAAATTTGCACTAAATGTTATATTTTTATTGTTTCCATCTGAAAGGGTCAGATGATGTGCTTGCTGGCAAAGGCTGTGATGGAGATACACTAGCACTTGATTGTTCAAGCTCTGCTTATACAATCAACATTCTCCATGCCTCATATGGCTCTTATCCTTACAGTTGTGGCCAACAATATACATCGATAAAATGTCCAGTGTTGGATGTTAAGAGTGACATTGTAACAAAGTGCCAGGACTACAAGGAATGTCGCATTTCTTTGAGTGGGTCTCTTTTTGGTTACAGTTGCCCCAATAACACTGCAAGAGGTCAACTGGAAGTCTTCTATCAGTGTACTAGTAGGAACATAAAAAGTAAGTTTTCTTTGTCTGTATTCCTAAATAACCCTGTTAGGTTTATGTTTTTAAATGGTGTTGTATGGGTGCACCCTTAAACGCTTGCTGTTTTCTAACAGCTGTAAGTTTTAGAACTTCAAAATCAAAGTGTCATTAATCAGCACAAAGCCAAACCATGTCACTCTGAACAAGTAAAAGTAATATTGAAACCATCGGGCTGGCACTAAGCATTATGTAGTATAAAGGATTTAGATTTAACACCTTGTAAGAAAGCACGCACATAAATGTTTTTTCCTTTAACTTAATTTTTAAATTGTCTTCTAGTTATAGTAGACAGTATAATTTTTGTGGCACAAACCCTGCATTCTTTTTACTTGCATTTGTAGCTAGGTAGACAACTTATTTTATCTGTTAATTTTTTCAATAAAATCTCTTTTAAAATCTCTAGCACCAGCACCAACAACACCATCAACACCACTATCAACACAAGGGAGCACTGAAGCACCATCCACTGATCCCCCCACCACCATTAATAGTCAGCCCTCAAATTCATTCACAGATGAAACAGCAGGTTCAACTTTAATCCCCTTGATCGAGCCCTTCACCACAAAACCAAGCACATCACTTACACCAGTAGTCTTTACTGTTGGCACTGATGTTCCACCACTTACGACTCCTGGAGGCTCTGGTAAGTCAGCTGTGCCATCAGTGGGTGGGAGAGAGGCTCAGACAGGAACAGGAATGCCGACAGGAACTATGGTTGGAGTTATTGTGGTCACGGTTGCAGTCATACTGGTTGCAGCTCTGATTGCTGTCTTCTTTGTTCGGAGGAAAAGGTATAATTTAGCATATTTTTCTTTTATCTTGGTGTCACTGCAAAATTCTTATTATATACATTTATTTATGTATTGGATATTTATTAATTGAAAGAGCTACTGAAAATGTAACTGGAAAATAAGCTCTCTGCATGCATAGAAGATGGTTTTTTTAATTGGCAGTCTTCTGCACAAATTTTGGGCTTACAATGCTACATAAAGTTATGAAGCTCAGTAGTGACTATATTGATGACATAACTTTCTACTTTTCCATGTTTGTTTGTGCAAACAGTTAGTCTGTCTATATAAGCTTGTATAATAAAAGGAAAATTACACAGTGCTTTGAAGATATGAATGTTATTTTCGATTCTCCCATTAAAAACAATATTTTACCCACTCACGTGGTTCATTCCTAAAAAATTGTTTCTACCACTCGAAAAAAAAATTCTTGTCTTCTTGCTGCCATGTATTATCCTCCATATATCTAGCTTTTGCACAGATTGTGGGCTGGTGATGTTAGATAACTTCTAGCTCTCTGCACACTTCACTAGGCTATGATGCTCTGGCACTAGTAAGATCTATTTCTAAACATAGCAACTTTTTCAAACTTTGGAATTCACTAAGCTCTATGTGTACAGGTGCCTACTCCTTTTTTTCTTGAGCAGAGTTGGTAGCTGTATACAGCCAGGGAATTCACTACATTGTTTTTATTTTGTTGTTTATAATAGGCTACATAAATCTAAAGGTGAACCTTTTCAGGCAGTGGCATTCACTCCAGAGAGGGAATACAGCATGCCAGAGAATTGCCCCAAAGGAAGGTCGGTTAATTTTGTACATTCAGTTTATAAATGAAACAAAGTCAGCAAGACAGACAGAAAGCTATTAATTACTGGAAGTAGGCTAGTTATTATGACGGTTGTGTTATGATGGGTGAAGTCTTCATCAACAATATCAAATCTTGGTAAGATATTAATGCTTTGACCTAGCCCCTTTAAAGAAAAAAAAACCTTGTGTTAATGAATGACGATGGTCACATGTTATTGGGGTCGCTAAGTTGTCTATTTGCTTGTTTGTTTGTTTGTTAGGTGTCCGCTTGATGCAAGAAACGGTGCATATGAGACTGTGAATATCTTATATGAAAGGTGGGTAGATCTCAAACAATCAAACAAACATGGTTTTGTAAAATTAATGCAAGTAGTTTAAACCTGACCTGGTTGAAATTAGTTTTCAGGCTGCTTTTTTTTTCTGCAAAGTGTCTAACAAGTTCGGAACTTCCCCCGGGACGTCCCTTCCTCCCTTCAGCCAGAAATAATAAATTATTGCAGAACCAAAATTATCGCTTCAGTGATTATCAGTGCAATTTGCTTAATTCAGACGTCAACAAGGAACCTTATTTGTTACTAAAAAACACAGTGCTGTACGTATAGCACTGACTTCCAATGGCCAGATATTGTTAAAAATATATGACATTGTTAATGTGTGGTATTTTCATTCTCTGTTCAGTGCTGACAGCCCTAGTGAATCTAGCGCCGCTGGTAAAGAGGAGAGCGCTGCATATGCAAGGTAGATTTTAAAACTGTTAATTAAATGAACGTTTTGTTTGACCGTTTGTGCATACAAAATGCTCTGGGTATAAGTAAAAAAGGTTGCCCTANAAACTGACAATTTAGTCCGCGCGAATTCTCTAAAGCGTGGGAGTTTAATACTCAGACCAGAAATAATTGGAATCGTCATTTGAAGGAAAGTCCACTTAGAATTCTACTGAAACATTTAGATTATTCGCTCTCGATTTTTATGAGGTGATAGTTGATTCGGTCTTCGGCCTCATCAACTATCACCTCATAGAAATCTCAAACTCATAATCTAATTGTTGAATAGAGTACGGTAGCTCAGCCAATCAGATTGAAGTATTTGCATTAGTGTACCAGCCGAATTCTGCTTATACCAACAACGAGTAAAAATGTAAAGCGATACTACACACCAAAACATCTAATGAGAGATTTATTATCCAACTGCTGTAGTCAATAAATTTATTAGTGAAAGAGGGAGAGTGTGACAGTTTCGCGTGCGCGCGCCTACCTGCCTGGCAAACAGGTTTTCTACCGTACAAATAACTGTACAATATCGCTGTATATTTACACTGTTATTTGGACGGTATTCGCTGCAGTTGGATAATAAATATATCTTGTTAGATGTTTTGGTGTGTAGTATCGCGGTATATTTTTACGAGTTGTGCCGTACTTTGACGAGCCCGTAGGGCGAGTCAAAATACAAACGACGAGTAAAAATATACAGCGATACTACGCACCAAAACATCTAATAAGAGATTTATTATCCAACTGCTGGAGTAAATAAATTTATCAATGAAAGAGGGAGAGTGCGACAGTTTTGCATGCGCGCGCCGACCTGTACAGCAAACAGGTTTCCTACTGTACAAATATGGCAAACAGGTTTTCTACTGGATAATATCGCTGTATATTTGTACTGTTATTTGGACGGTATTCGCTGCAGTTGGATAATAAAGATAGTTATTTTGCTTTACGTCTCTAGGGTGAAACCACCGAACGTCACTGCTCATAAATATGAAAGGTATGATAACAACACTTGCTCCTATTTAGATCTGTATCGAGTAAGGTTATTTAAGTGTGGTAACGTTATGATATATCTTCGTTTTGTCGACCTCAGTGCTTTGTAATTTGGCAACGTGACTGAGAAAACAAGACGAAAACTTGGTCAACTTACCGTACATTGAACAGGCTAGAGGTCATTAAGTAGCTGAAGAATTCGGCAAAATTGAGTTCTTCGACACCAAAGTAAAGCTCTAGCTATCCGTTTTGCTCTACGCATTCTGAGAGGAGGCATTAGAGGCAACAGTTTGCAAATTATTGTTTGCTTTGCGTTTGCTGAGCTGGAAATTACTTTAAAACTCGTGCAGCGTAGTGCAGCGTTTGTTAACCAATCAAAGCAGACATGTCTCTTTCTCGACCAATTAGGAGCAAGCCAATATCAATCGTAACTTTGGCTTTCGCGCGTTTTCCCGCGCTTACCACGGCTTGTGCGATTTTGCTTTTGGTCATTAAATTAGGAAACTACTCCAGTTTTATAGGTGAACCACCTCTTCTGTAATACTTCCTAATGATACTTCTTGTTGTGATCGAACCCTTTGTAATAAAATAATCCTGCATTTAGTGCTTCAGATAACATCCCTTCCAAGGTCAAATCTATAAACAACCCAAACTACGAGAAAACTTTAGAACTCAAGGTAAGTCCTCCATTGTTTTCACATTGTAGTGTGCATTTTACTCGTGTATAAAATACCGTCCAACAATTCTCGGTTGTGGGTTGTTTTTCATTGATTTGCGAGCATAAGATAGCATCTTCTTCAACAAATGTTACGATATTTTGTTTCAGAAAGCTTAGCAGTATCGTAACCATTTTTTTTCAAAGCTGTCAATGTTAAACGCTGTAGGATACCAGAATGGTAATTCAATCAATTTTCTAATTGGCTCAAACAAAATTTGGCCAAGCAATAGGAGAAAGAAACCTACTGTCCAGTAGTCGAGACGGAAATAATACAGTACATTAACCTTTGTAAGCTATTTTTTAATTAGTATTACGTGATTTTAGCCTGCACTGACAGTAATGCCCGAGCTTAAATTGTTTGATCGTTTTAAATGACCTTCCGCTGTGTATTTTTAATGCTTAATACACTTGAAAAAAATACCGGATTCTGATTGGCTAAAAAGGAATGCAGATTTCATGTAACGCGAGTGCAAATTTGTTAGCCTTTGAAATAATTTACTCCCGTCTATTCATTCCACATCACACTCGAAATCATGTGATTACACGAACTAACAAGATCTATGTTCAAACGCTTTCAGTCTTTCAGTTTCAAGTTCAGTTTGAGAATATTTTTTCCCACTTTATGTTTATTTTTATTTCTTCTTTCGCAACAGACTCATGAATACGCTGTTCCAGATTGTCAAGTGAAGCCCAGCTGTTAGGCGTGGCGTACATAGCCCGGAGCAAACGGAGACGCATAAATATTAAGTTGAAATTGTAATCAGGTTTCAGAAACGTCTATTTTGTAAAATGTGCCGGGATATCACTTGGAAAACACCGCCAAACATTTCATTTCCACGGGTTTCCGGGGCCCCGAAACCCCTGAAAAAACAGTAGTAAATCATGAATTTTTCAATATATTTCTGAGTAGAACAATTCTCAACAAACGAGAGAAAGTGTTCAAGAAAACGATAATTCAAAACAAGCGAAAACTGACGGTAAATAGAGAGTTGAAAACTGCAATCAGTTAGCAGTGACGCACGCAAAGATGAGGGAACTGTACATTTATTGAAATGTGTGTAATTGAGTGATGAAATTGTGGATGTAAAGCCCCGGTAAAACGATCGCAACATTTCAACGCAACATATCCCATCATTGTTGGTCCAGCATTTGCAACCTCTGGCGAAACGATCGCAACATTATTTGCGTGCGTTTGGCCACCCTGTTGGGACGTGTTGCTACGTGCTGGGTATTGAAAATCAAACTAGCGCGCATGCCCTGGCACAACACTGTTGCTCGAACCTGGCCAAACGACTACAACATCATGCAACATCCTAATGTTGCATGAAAATTTGACCATTTTCGAATTTGAGCCAACAACACCCAACATGTTACAACATGTCGCAACACGCCGCAACAGGGTGGCCAAACGTGCTGTAAACTCTGTGCACGTTTTCTCTTTTTTAAGAGTATGATGTTTTTTTCTTTCCATTATCCCCGTTTTGAAGATTGTGAAAGAAGATTTATTTAGGTACCAGTAGCTGCATAAGTAGAAGTGTGCTCAGTTAAACTGCAACCACAATTTCAGTATTTATTCGACGTTTTTGTGCAACGTTTCCTCGATTTTATGTGACGAGAAATACCTTCATCGCCTTGCATAGAGTCAAAGAGGTTTGCTTAGTTTGAAACTACAAGGTATAAGAGTAAGTAGTGAGTCTGTCTTTAAGCCTAAGCTAAACAACAACGGGAGTGAACAAGAATTTGAACTCTCGCTTACGTTTTGTCCAATTTTTTATGCATTCTCGTAGAGTCGTCGAGAGTATTTTCTCGTTTCCACTAACTTATTGACTCTCGTTTAACTCTTAAGTTTCAACTTTTTAAGACAACTCTCGTTCTGGTTTGGCCCGGGCTTTACAGTCAATGTACGAAAGTTATTTTATTTAATGCGAAAACACAGCTGAATAATAACCTTTCGTGACAAATCCTCGTAAAGTATCCGAAGCAGCCCGAAGCATTTCCGATTAGTATTACCCAGTCAGAAGCACGCGCCAAAAGGCTTGCCGCTGGCTCGGTCACCTGTCGCGGACAGGATTTCTGAGTGTAAAAACGAATTAATGGAACATTTTTGGTACGAAAATTCTGAAAAGGGTCAAGGTCGGTTTTTGAACAATTGTGTGCAAGTCTAATAAGTTAGCGTTAAACGTGTGGATAACGTGTTTATAGTTACTAGTAATATACAATACTCAAAGAGTTAGGAATTTTATACATCCACTATGTGATTTCTCGAGTTGTTTCTCTATTTTACAAGCTGTAGCATGATAAGGGTCATCGTACAAGTTTGTAATATATTTTTAGTGTGACAAAGGGTATTAACCAAGTTAATAATCGATATTTTTGTTGCAATCGAGGAGACTTGTTTCATAGACGGGTCTGCCAGCTTTACCTAGTTCCGGTTTACAAACAAATGGGAACTTGTGTTGTAAGGTTTAGCTTTATTGGTCCGGGTTGTTCGAAAGGTGAGTAACGCTATCCACGGGATAAATTACCATCCAGTGTCTGTGGATAGCGTGGTTTGTTTTGTTAGGACTTATCCACTGGATAGCGATTTATCCGGTGGATAACGTTATCCAGCCTTCGAACAACCGGGGCCAGATGCATTTCATTCACCTAAGTGACCCATCCTCTCACGCATTCCACCCTCACCCTTGCCACCCCACCTCTCTATCGACCTTCTAGAAATGTTTCAAGGGCTCGCATCTATCATAAGCTACATTTACCCTACTGAGCCAATAGCCTCTTCGTAACAAAACCGTGATAAATATAAATTATTATTATTATTATTAATTACGAGACAAATTCGTGATAAATATAAATTATTACTTTTATTATTAATCTCAAGACGCGACCTTGGAAGTCGCTCTTAGGAAAGAAATTGCCAACTCGGAACAAAAGACTGACTTCAACCGCTAGTGGCCTGGGCCCGTCTTGAAATCAACGGCCTGTACTTGTAGCCAATAGATGCCATTTTCGATGTATTAAAATTAATTTAATTTCAATTAAAACCTTAAAGGAGACCGATCTGCGCGTGGCTGGAGCTTTTTTTGACCCCTAAAAGATACCAATTTAAACGGAAATGACAGCGTTTTCTATTACTTCTTCGCGGGCAACCCCATCAAGCAAGATACTTCGGTAGCTAAAAGTAGTGCTGTGTCGCCCTAAAAACCCTAAGTGAGAGCAAAATGCGTGATTTACATCCCAAGGCGAGAAGACGAGCATTTTCGATCTTTTCACATGGGTTCCTCTTGGGGGTCAGGCTCAACATGGTCGCTCGCCCTGGAGGAGAAGTGCTCCATTAAATAAAACAGTCCACTCGTGAAATTATTATTAATTAGCCCTTATTGGCTCCATTTGTTTCAGACTCTCGGATTTCAGTTATCAATTAACGTATTTGCCACAAGAATAAATCACAATATTAATAGTTCAAATAATGATAGAAATATATCATAAAAATTATAGTGACAAGAAGGCTTGGGAGAAACAAGAAAGCTTGCATAAGAATAGTCTACAGGGCCGCAGCCAGAAAGAAAATTATGACTGAGGCAATGCTCATGGTTAAAATCTCTTCCTATAAGCATTTAGCAGCTTTTTTACTTTCTCCCTTCAAAGAAGAAACCACAGAAACCAAAGAAATGACAGAGGCAAGTGTCTCGGTTTGCCTCATATTGGCTACGTCCCTGTTTTAATATTATTGAACGTATTGTGAGTTGAAAGCGGAGGGGAAACGATTTAAAAAAATAACAATGACTTCAGTCGTTATCGACTATTGTGCCCAAATCTGATGGCCTAGAACAATCTTCAGTTCATAAATTTCGTATTGCAGTATTCTCAAACTAGCTGACTGTCCTATCCATCACAAATTCAACTCTTTAAAAAAAATATACATTTATCCCAACCATATTATATCTCAAATGTCCCGTCATTTATTTTTTAGTGATGATGTGATTTGCAGTCACAAAGGCTATACACACAAACGCCCAGCCAACCACAAAAAGGATCCATAGAAGGCGTCCAAATGGTGACCTATGCTTGTTGTCATAACAACCGGTCATCGTCATAACATGTTTCTTGCCATAGAACGCCAGGCAGGCGGGGATTATATACTGCACCCCGGCTCCAGCATACGAGCCCGTCACCCCTACAAGAATTTCCAAGTTTTGCGTGATAAAAGCCACGATAATCGGTAGGGTAATGGTCGCCAGTGGGAACGCAATTCTGTCCACTACCCAAGGGTAAGGTCGACCTTCACGGTGAAAAAGGTTTTTTAGATTGTCGCGAAGGGTTATTGATATAATGGGAAAGTTAGTGCTGAGGGTAAAAACCGGAAACAACGCCAGGAAATAGCCCACGAACTTCCCCGAGGAATCCCAAAAGTTGAGCGTGTATAGGTCTTTCAAGTCCTCCGCGCGAAAGGTAAAGATGGCGGTGAACGACAAGAGCGCATAGAAGACCATGACGACGGCGAAGTCCGTGCTAAAGAGAAGCGTGATGCGTGATTTGTTTTTCATCGGTGTTATAAGGGATGGGAGAGAGTGCTGACACATGTAGGAATACACGCAGACTCCGAACAGATTGGGAAGCCCTGAGAAGTTCGCCGGAGGGGTATCGTGTTTCCCCTTGCCTTTACCAATCTTCACCAGAGCAAGCACAATCATCATCATGAAGGCTGTGGAAAAGAGAAGTGAAAAGCATTAAGTCTGAGTCAGCTGTGCACGAGAGTGGTTTTCAAAACCAATACAGAAGTAAGCACATCTGACCAATCACAGAACACGCAAAAAAATTTACAAAATTAGCCAATCAGAAATGAAAGCATGAACTGGCAACCGGTGAAAAGCGCGGGAAAACGCGTGCAAGCAGGGTCACGAGGTCGCTCCTAATTGGCTGAAAAAGCATCAAGTTTGCTCTGATTGGTTCTAAGAATTTTTTTATTCACTGTCGAAAGTTATTGTCAGTGTTTGCTTTGGTTTTGCGGTTTCTGACCTCTGTAACTGTTTCAATTAGTGGAATGCGCACTAACCTGGAATAAATCAAAGGGAACAAGCTGTTCTGTCAACCAATCAGGAGCTAACCTTTTAACCAATCATTACTTGACTTAAATGCGTTTTCCCGCGCTTGGCACCCACGTCTTACTCGTGGCTTGTAGTTGATTCGAGTTCTGATTGGCTCACTGTGTCATCTGCATTAGTTGTGATTGGTTTACAAAAAAAGGCGTAATGGAGGACAGAAAGACTCTGATGTGTCATACTATACAGCAAACAAGTGTTTTTTTTGCCATCCGCGCTTCTCGTCTCCTTGTGCGAGGTGATCTAAGCACTTACTAACCCGAAGAAAATGAAGCGACACTACTTGCAGTTTAACCTGCTCCTCACCTATCCATCTCATAGCCGTAGTAAACATCTGCAAGTATTTCGTCTTCTGTACATTGAAAAAAGTAAAAGGTCC